AAGATGATATCCATGTACCAAAGAGGCACCTCTCCCTTTAATTATATATCAGAACGATGCACTGTGCATTACCATAATAAAAAACTTTAGTAAATTCAACCGATTCCATAACCCTCACGTAGGATGTTATGAAAATCGAAACCGCCCCTGTACTGAGGAGAACCATACCCCGAAACCATAATTACAGGTTGACTTTTTGCCTGAATTTTCCAAAAATGGTGTTGTGGCTCACTATTTATCATCACTAGTGAAGTTTTTCACTAGGGTGATGTACAGTGCATCGTTCTGATGCACAATGTGTCAAATTATATTGACAAATATTTGCACGCTTATCTTATCCTATTTCTTTAGTGCGAAGAACGTTGTTTTTATCAGATAAGTAAACCGATCTCTCAAGCATTCTAATTGGACGCCATGTTTGTATATAAAGGGGGTTTAAGGGAATGCGTGAGAGGCCAGTGTGGTATAAAGTTTTGTGTAGAGACGCTTATAGTGTTCTCTTCGTATTTTACCCGTGTCTGGTGATCTCTTCGCATTCCCTGTGTAACCCCGGTCCGATCCCTACCAAAGCAACAATAAAGATAAATACTGTTTTTCTTATTTTATTTTATTTAACAAATTGTAAGTTTATTTATCTCTTTTTGTTGTACTTTTGAGTGTACGCTTTTGTATTTTTAGTTAATATTACTTTAGGCCCTAGTCTATTGCATTTTGTGTTAATCCGTACAAAGTAACATTTGTCAAATGCACGAATGCAAAATTCATCCCCGGACACTTGGTGTCTTCACCTGAAGAATTGTATGTAATTACTTGCTAATGGCTATACCATGTAAATACCTACATTTTCACTGAAATATATTAAATACAATATATTTAGGTCTGATTGGAATGGTATTGACATATTTCACAGGAATATAAAATTTAAAAAGGAAATCTAGATGGATGGGTATTTCGAGAAATGGGAACAAGAACTATAAATGTATTTAAAGATATTTCGCAACAATACAAATCTTTTTTAAATTTTAAAAATAGTTACAAATTAGATTTGTTTGATGAATCCAATCCAAACCAATCCAATACAATAGTAGAGAGGTCTAGAGATTAATTTGGCGAAACCGCTGAGAGGGTTCACTACTGATGAACCAAACCCTCTTATTCAATAACTTATTTCAGTTGACAAAATTTACTTATACAGGATATCACACAAAAGTAAAATTTTAGGGCATAAAGTAAGAGTAACTTAATACGCAGAAAAACGTACACTCAAAAACACAACACCAACAACAAAAAAGGAAGTAAATAAAAACACACGGACATTTGTAAAATAAAAACGAAACAGTACTTATCTTTATTGTAGTGTTGGTAGGGATCGGACCGGAGTCACACAGTTATGTGAGGAGATCACCAGACAAAGATAAATCACGCAGAGAATACTTTAAGCGTCTCCACACAATAAACAACAACACTGGCCTCCTCGCATTGTCAAATTATATTGACAAACATTTTTAGTTTTTTTTTTTCTGATCAGGCTTTAGAGGGAAGAATGTTGTCTTCGTTTGTTAGTGAACCAATCTCTCACGCCTTCTCATTGGACGAATGTGGCCATGTTTGTATATAAAGGGGACGAGGGGAATGCGGTGAGAACAGAGAGTGCGTGGATAATCTGTGTGGAGCCACTTAAAGTGGTTTTTCTACTGGCGGTTTTCCCTGTCTGGCTGTTCTCTTGGCATCCCTGTGTCCCCAGTCCGATCCCTCCCAACGCTACAATAAAGCTAAGTATTTTTTTTATTTTATTTAACAAATCGTGAGTTGTTTTTATCTCCCTTTTTTTGTTAGCGTTGTATTCTTGAGTGTACGCTTTTCTGTGTATTAAGGTACTTTAATTTAGGCCCTAGCTTATTCTATTTTTGTGTGTTAATCCGCAAAAGTAATAACTTTTGTTATTGGCGAGCCCTGCCAGGATTACTGGTGTTTGCACGTGTAAATTCCTGTAATTTTTACGTGCGTTTTTTTTTTCTTTGATTGAGTGGTTTATTATTATTATTATTATTGTACTCCATCATGTTTGCGAACTCAATGCTCAACTTGTCAGTGTTTAATGGGGTTGGTCTCGAGTCTTTCATTCGGGAAGTCGAGCTTAAAGCTCGAGTAGGCAAATGGGATCCTGAGGTCAAAGCACTGCTCATGTTCGAGGCTCTATCCCCTGAAGTTAGGTTGAGCTTAGAGGAGATGGGTATCCGTAACGATAGCAGTTTCGATAGTATTGCTAGTAAACTGAACATATTGTACCCTAAGAAAGCGCGTGGTATTAAGGAATGCCTTAAATTAATAGAAGGTCTTAAGCAGAGAGTTGGGGAAAGTCCTATGGTTTTTAAATAAAGATTCTTGGCCATTAGAGATAAAGTAGAGCACAGATTTGACGATAGTTTAGTTTTCGAAATTTTCCTCGAAAATGTGCTCGAAAAGTATAGAGAGGCTATTGTTCGCAGTGAGGCTAAATCAATAGACAAAGCAGTCAGTGTCATGGCCACGGAGGATAGTGTAGAACAACGTTGCAGCTTTATGAAAGGGGTATGTTCAGTAGAAGGGGTTAAAGAAATAAATAGCATTAAGGGTGAGATGAAGATGCTTAGTTCCAGTGTAAACAGGATGAAGCACGAAAATGAGCAGTGTATTAAAGACCTTAGGGGTGAGATAGAAAAACTGACTAAATTGTTGGGCGAAATCAAGCTGAGTCCACCTGAGTGTAGGTTAGGACATATAGCTAGTGATTGCTCAAGACAGTCTTCTATGTTTGCCAACCGCAATACTCTTGACAATGCTGAGATTGTGAACATACGTTCTTATGGCGGTGATCAGACTGGAAATCTGCCAATTGTTAAGGTGAATATTAAGGGCAATATGTGGCACCTGTTATATGATACAGGAAGCCAAGTCAGTATCATTGATTCTGAAAAGTGCAAGGTCTTGAAGGAGAATTGGGACGATGCACTTAAAACTTTACATATAGTGTCAGTGACAGGCCACGAGCAGAAACTTACACGTGTTAAAACCTCTAGAGTTGGTAACGAAAACGGCACCGTGCTAGGAGAGATAAGGTTTTGGCTAATGTCACTCGGAGATAAGGGCTACGACGGGATTCTGGGAATCAATGATATAAGGAGATTGAATATCCAGTTGCCTCCCGTACGGGAACGTTGCAACATGATTTCCTTGAAACCAGAGGACCATGAGTATGTAGACCTTAGCTGCATTGCCAGTGCACATAGACCAATGGTTTCATTCTCATTAGATGAGAAATCAGTGAGGCGCATTGAAAACGAGGCCGTAAAGTTGCCACCTACTGAGTTTAACAGAAACTGTGAGTGTAGCGCTGGGTCTGTTAATAGTTTTAGAAAGCCTACTTGGGCTGAGAGGTTAAGGGGGATGCGGAAAGCAAAGGAGACTGTCAAACAGTTTATTTCAGGTAATTCTGCTGAAAAGCTTATGAATCCTAGACCACCTTATACCAAATGTTTCGACAGAGGAGATCTGGTAATGCTAGCTGTTCCTAAGACTGAAGGTTACTCCAACGTCTATGGGCCTTTCTCCGTGTGGAAGCTAGGGTCTCCGATGTTAACTTTAGAGTAAGAGGGGTCACCATGAACGATGTGAAAGTTGTACATGCCGATAGGATGAAAGCGTTTAGAAACTGACGTTAAGAAGAGTCTTTAGCTCTTGGACTTGAGAGAACTGAATAGAATTGGATCGTTCGGTTTCTCATCAAGCGAGCCTCTGTCAGTTCCCAAAGTCTCTAACTTTCATGCCCGGCCGGTCCCAGATGAGAGCTTATTAGTCCCCCATTCAACTCTGTCTATTAAAGCATATTATATATGTGTGTGCTTGGTAATCACTCATGGTAACTCACGTAGTTTGCGCAGAATTTTGGTTATTTTCTCTTTGGGAGGAACAAGATGGAAGGCACCTGTATGGAACGACCTGGATGCCTACTTCTCTTCTCTTTAGTCAATCCTTTTTAATTTTATAACATGGCTCCCGTGAGCTTCCCCCCCCCCCCCCCCCCCCCCCCGACAGCGGGAGGTTTTCCTTACGGGACAATGAGAATGTTTGGGAGATTGGTTAGTTACTTTTTTTTTTTGGAAGGATACCTTTTGTCAAATTATATTGACAAACATTTTTAGTTTTTTTTTTCTGATCAGGCTTTAGAGGGAGAATGTTGTCTTCGTTCGTTAATGAACCAATCTCTCACGCCTTCTCATTGGACGAATGTGGCCATGTTTGTATATAAAGGGGACGAGGGGAATGCGGTGAGAACAGAGAGTGCGTGGATAATCTGTGTGGAGCCACTTAAAGTGGTTTTTCTACTGGCGGTTTTCCCTGTCTGGCTGTTCTCTTGGCATCCCTGTGTCCCCAGTCCGATCCCTCCCAACGCTACAATAAAGCTAAGTATTTTTTTATTTTATTTAACCAATCGTGAGTTGTTTTTATCTCCCTTTTGTTGTTAGTGTTGTATTCTTGAGTGTACGCTTTTCTGTGTATTAAGGTACTTTAATTTAGGCCCTAGCTTATTACATTTTTGTGTGTTATTCCGCAAAAGTAATAACTTTTGTTAGCATTCCCTTAGTCCTCTCTTATATACAGACATGGCCACATTACTCCAATGAGAATGCGTGAGAGATTGGTTCACTAACAAACAAAGACAACATTCTTCCTGTTAAAACCTGATTAGAAAAAAACTGCAAATGTTTATCAATATAATTTGACACAGTAAGGTCTGTTGATATAATATTTGATGATATTATTGAAAATATACATTACCAGTAAATTTATTTGTTACAAAAGGAGTTGTAAAACGACATTTGAAAATTATCCCGCATGTGTTTCTTTTGAACGAAAAATCAAAATTTATTTCAAGAAGAAATAACGATCATCTCTAACCTTGAAGATGAGGTATGAAAAGATGAATTGTGAACAGTAATGATAAACGGAAAAATAAAAGTGTTCAGGGATGGGAATCGAACCCACAGTGTTCCGCTTACCGGGCAGATGCCATGTCCACTAGGCTACCCTGGACATATTTTTCGGTTCGTAAATACTACATAAATGAATTTATAATACAATATAATATAATGACGCTTGTGATTGTAAAACGACATTAGAAAATTATCCCGTATATGTTTCTTTTGTGAATGAAAAATCGAAATTTATTTAAAGTAAAAATAACAATCATTTCTAACCTTAGGGATGAAGTATGAAAGGATGAATTGTGAAGAGTAATGATAAACGGAAAAATAAGTTGTATATGTACATTCCTCAATTTGAGATGGATAGATGACAAAGGAAAGATGAAGATTTCTACAGTTAGCAGTAAAATGTTCCTGCGACTAAGGTTACATATCTTCAGCCAAGTAAGGTGACAGAGAGGAAGTGTTGGAGACTGATCGAAGAACTCATCAAAAATGAATTGCCAGATGATGTCATCAGGGGCGGGTCTCAAGATGGTATCTCCCCCACCAACGGGGGACATGATGAGTACGCTCTGAGACGTTATCTTCACTATTTACATCCTCCTGTCTCATCAATCCTGAGGTTTACCCTTCCCCAGAGATGGACCCTATTTCACCACATACACTGTATTCTACATATAGATTTTCACATCCATTCTTTGGAAACGTAATATGTACATAATTTTGGTGTTTTTATTTTAAATATCGTTAAGTAACCCATCAGTATGTTTAGAATAATATGTTGAATATATCATGTAAGCATTATTTTATTTTCCCACTTTTTATTTATTTTCAAGACAAAACTTGAGGAAATTTTACCTTTTAGCATGAAAATCGGGATGCACACAATAACTATGAAAAGATACACTCACGGACAACACTTAAGTAAGTTGTAAATTTTAGCATGTATATCGAGATTCAGACAATAACTATGAAAGATACCCTCATGAAAAAACTTAAGGAAGTTGTAACTTTTAACTTGTATATCGGGATTCAGACAATAACTATGGAAGATACACTAATGGACAAAACTTGAGGGAATTGTACCTTTTAGCATGTATATCGGGATTCAGACAATAATTCTGAAAGATACACTCATGGACAAAACTTAAGGAAGTTGTACCTTTTAGAAAGTATATCGAGATTCAGACAATAACTATGAAAGATGCACTAATGGACAAAACTTGAGGAAATTGTACCTTTTAGCATGTATATCGGGATTCAGACAATAATTCTGAAATATATTTGATACACAGTGGCCTTTATTGAAGGCACACGAAATTGTCAATTTATATTGAAAAACATAAGCAGTTTTATCTTATCTTAGTTTTAGCAGGAAGAATGTTTTTTTTTTTTTGTTTGTCTCACGTATTCTCATTGGACGAATGTGACCATGTTGGTATATTAGAGGGGGCTAAGTGAATGCAAGAGGAGGCCAGTGTGGTGCATTATTGTGTGGAGCCGTTTAAAGTGTTCTCTGAGTGATTTATCCGTGTCTGGTGATCTCCTCCCATACCTGTGTAACCCCGGTCCGATCCCTACCAACGCTACAATAAAAGATAAGTACTGTTTTGTTTTTATATAGCAATTTGTGAGTTTTTATTTACTTTCCTTTTGGTGTTGTCGTTCTCTCGAGTGTACGATTTTCTGTGTGTTAAGTTACTCTTACTTTAGGCCCTAGTAAATTGCACTTTGTGCGTTAAACTGTAAAAGTAACTTTTATCAAGATAACCAAGTGTGAACAGCTTCTGTATCCTTCAAACCGACATCAAAGACTTACCACTTCCATAATTTTGTCCATGAGAGCATTTTATATTCTCTAAGTAACTATAATCAAACAATATTTTTTTGGATAATTATACATTTTAAATATATATAAATATTAAAAACAAAGAAGGCATATCCTGGCCAGGAGCACATGTGCTTTTCAGAAGGCAGAGCGCCATCTGGTGGAACAGAAATCAACTAAACATTGATTTAGCTTGTTCCATGATATTTGGCCAACCCAATTTCTTGATAAATCAAGAAAAGCCATCCACGAACGCGTTTGGTGCTGTTTTTTTTTCCCCCTTCACCTCTCGTCTTTAATTTTAATAGTAAATGCCCTCTCTTGATAGAAATTAGGTTCATATGGCCATTACAAATGGAGATAACAGCGTCACGACAATTTTATATAGTAACAATTATATTATAAATTCTCTATTCTCTATCTCTTCAACATATATTCATCCATTATGTTTGATTATTTAAATTCCATCTTTATTGAATAAATTTTACACTTTTTGACATCAAAGCTTTTATTTTCGGGTAAATTATCAAAAACTACCTATGTATGTGTGTGCAAGCCTTTCTGTGATTGTCTTCTAAATGATTAATTCGATAGATTATATTTTAAAATTGATTTAGTTTCTTATACGAAATTAATATAAAATAATTTTCGTGGAAACGTTTATCAACATATTTGATTGGGTTTATATACTATAGAAGTCTCAATAGCTTAGAGATATAGAGAGTCAAAATGTCTTTATACACCTCTTCCTTGAAAAATACTTTTAGGAGACAGAGGTAATTTTGTTCAAACTTGGTTATCTCGTGTGTCTTCAATAAAGGACATTGTAATATCTTTCAGAGTTATTGTCGGAATCCCGATATACATGTTAAAAGGTACAACTTCCTTAAGTTTTGTTCATGAGTGTATCTTTCAGAGTTATTGTCTGAATCCCGATATATATGCTAATTGTACAGCTTACTTAAGTTTTGTCCATCAGTGTATCTTTCGGAGTTATTGTCTGAATCTAGATATACATGCTAATTGTACAGCTTACTTAAGTTTTGTTCATGAGTGTATCTTTCAGAGTTATTATCTGAATTCAGATATACATGCTAAAAGGTACAACTTCCTAAAATTTGTCCATGAGTGTATCTTTTAGAGTTATTGTCTGAATCCCGATATACATGCTGAAAGGTACAACTTCCTTAAGTTTTGTCCATGAGTGTATCTTTCAGAGTTATTGTCTTAATCCCGATATACATGCTAAAAGGTACAACTTCCTTAAGTTTTGTCCATGAGTGTATCTTTCAGAGTTATTGTCTAAATCCCGATATACATGCTAAAAGGTACAACTTCCTTAAGTTTTTTCCATGAGTGTATCTTTCAGAGTTATTGTCTAAATCCCGATATACATGCTAAAAGGTACAACTTCCTTAAGTTTTGTTCATGAGTGTATCTTTCAGAGTTATTGTCTCAATCCCGATATACATGCTAATTGTACAGCTTACTTAAGTTTTGTCCATCCTTGTATCTTTCGGAGTTATTGTCTGAATCTAGATATACATTCTGAAAGGAACAACTTCCTTAAGGTTTGTCCATGAGTGTATCTTTCAGAGTTATTGTCTGAATCCCGATATACATGCTGAAAGGAACAATCATCTTAAGTGTTGTTCATGAGTATATATAAGAATATTGCGAGGTAAAGAGATTAATTTGGCTGCTTAGAATTTACCACTAATAAGACAAATTCCCTTTCTTTTAATTTGTCAATATTCACAGTGAGGTATACCGAAGTAATTTTGATATAATTTATTCGTAAGGAAGCAATAATATCAAAAATGTTTCAAATAAATTTCATTTAGTGCACACACTCAGATATATATGTTATATTGAAATATTGTTTTATTTAAAAAAATAATAATATTTCATAGATACAAATACTCTGTTAAATCGACCGCCAGAGGTCACGCTTCCCCTATAAAACCTCATTGTTGTTGTTTCCCGATGGCCGGCTCAAATCTTTTGTACATTATGTAAATAAGCTTTTCATTTTTTTTATTCTTACACCTTAAGCCAGGCAGTACTTTTATCAAACTATGTTTATATATACAGTGTACTCTGCTTATAACGAAGTCGCATTATCCATGACAATCACTTTGTTATATCCGAAGTTTGTTATATCCGCAGTTGGAAAAAAAAATATTTTGTACCAATAATTTTATTTACTATTCAACTCAAAAGAGCAACACAAAGATCAATAACAACCTCATCAGGTGTTTTTGGAGAAGTAGTTTGTGATTTTCTTTTGACATTTAGAAGTCAGTAACAAGTGCTGAACACTCTTTTCGATGTTGTCCAAGTCTGACAGATGCCTATGAAGAGACTTGGACTCATCCTGACATTGAAGAAACAATCGCAGAGTTTGAATGCTCTCCAAGACCTCTTTTGGATGCGGAATGTGGACAATTGGGTCTACTTCTTCATCAACTTGGTCCGTTTCTTCTTCTTCTTTTGCTTGAAGAATGCTCTCGACAATTTCTACATCGGATAACATGGCATTTGTAACGACGTCATTGTCAGCGTCAGCATAAGAATCGAAATCCATCTCTAACGGTATTTTTAAAACTTCTTTCTTGCGATCGAAGAGGCTTTGTTGCTCCCACATTTGTGTTGCAGGCTGTGGTGTATCCAATGGAGAACTGACATCGGACTTAATAATTCCACTATGATGCCAACAGTTGGAAATTGTCGCTGGAAGCACATCATTCCATGCTACAGATATAATATCCACAGCTTGCTTAAGATTGATTGTTAATGCTGTTCCAGCATCGTATGCCGTCAAATATTTCCTCATTAAACGCGTTCGATAAATCATCTTGAAATTGCGAATAATGCCTTGGTCGCATGGTTGCAGCATTGAAGTGGTATTTGGCGGCAAGAATGCTATACGAGTATTTGTGAGGCCCTGCATGTCTGGGGGATGAGCGCCGCAATTGTCAAGCAGGAGGATAATTTGTCGATGTTGTCCAGCCATCTTCTTGTCGATGTGCCGAACCCAGGATTCGAAGAGTAGTCCAGTCATCCAGGCCTTCTGATTTGCTTCGTACTGAACAGGAAGGTGCTTGATTCCTCGGAAGCATCTCGGCTGTTTCGCCTTTCCAATGACCAAAGGTTGCATCTTTTCAGAACCATCCATATTGCAGCATAGAAGGATTGTGATCCGTTCCTTACTAGCCTTTCCGCCGGTGCAAGTTTCTCCCTTAAAGTGAAGTGTCTTGTCAGGAAGAAGACGCCAG